GAGCCTCACATGGTGGTGTAGTTCTGAGCATGTTTTGGTCAGCCCTCCGGGCAGCCCTGGCACAGGGATGGCCCAGGAGGAGCCTTGCACTGGGCAGACATGGCCAGGAGCTAGTAACCCATTATGTTCCACGTCTGGCTGAGAGCTGTCCAGAAAGAATGTGGCTGGGCTAAAGCAATACAGTGGATCCCGAGGCTATCAGCTAGTTGCGCTGCTATGCTATCAGATGTCCAACTCTATCAGAGCTGTATAAAAATGTCTTGAGTCATCTCCTTTATTAATTTCTCCAAACCCTCTCCAAGTATCCACAGCACTTTTCTGCCTCTTGCTTCATTTGGGTCAGGCATTAATTTCTGCCTTAAAGTCCTTTTCAGCCACAAGTTATAAAAAGGCATAATCCAGTTCAAAAATATATCTGTAATCCTCACTCACCACTGCAGCGTGTTTGGTCCACAATAGAAGTTCAGTAAACATCTGTTGAAGAAATGGAGATTGTTGTTTTTTCAGGGATGTAATCTTACTCTGGTTGGTCTGAGTCCTTACAGCAATAAGTCATGCAACTGGGATGTGCGTGTAGGCGGTATATGACATGCAGATATCCCCTAATAAAACATTCAGACTTCCTGAGCTTCCTTTTTTTATATATAAATTTTATAGTTTGTCTTAGACCATATTTCTTTTACTTTTTTATTTCACTGCATTTTATACTTTTTAAAAATGAAAGATGAGTTGCTCTCCAGCCATAAAAGATAATCAAGATTTTCCCTTAGGGATTTCTTATCATGGTGAGTGAAATCTATTGTAATATCCCCATGTTGTAAGACATACATGACAAGCTCAACAGTAAGTGAAATATGAGAGAAAGGGACTGAGGGCAAACGGGAGCATGATCAGCTGAGTTTCCTTTCCTGGCTCTTAAGAGCAGACTGGTCAGTAGTAGTGACGGGTGTCACACTTAAAATGTTTCAGAAATGTTTGCATGCAAACACACATGTTTAGATATGACGGTAACCACCAAATGAGCTCTTCCAGCATTAAATTTCTACCCAAGAAAGACAGACATGCGCTTTACAAGCAACAGTCTGGGTAAAATGTATTCTGCCAAGGATCTCACACCTCATGCTCCTTTAATTAAGGATATCTGTGCATCAAGACTTCCTCCCACCCATTTTGACTAGAAATATAGAGAATCAAATGGCTCTTTTTTAGTCTATCATCTTCCATACAGTTATCGGGAAGGAAATAGACATAGTTGGAGTATGTGAAAAAATGTTTCTCTCATTTCTCTAAAGTAAAGTATTAGCTCTGGAATCCTGAAAGCTCATCAGAAAAGAAAGCAGCAAGGAGAAACTGTGAAGCAAGGAATGCTTTTATTGCGCCTTACAGACCCTTTAGCTTTGCTTTCTGTTATCATTCTCCGAGAAGGGTCGAGTTGACACAGATTCTTTAATGCAGACATTATCCCAGGGATTAGATCCTATAACACCCAGTAGTTTAAGTACATCCTAATAACAATGAAACTGCATTTAGCAATATTTCTTGAATAGGAGAAAAAATAAATTTTCAAGTTTTTGATTCTGATTTTGTAATGAAATACCACACAGAGAAATAGCCATTTCATTAAATGAGGAGTTGCATTGAATTCTTTCCCAGCAAGATTATCATTCATTGTCTATTATCAGTATGTACCAAACATGATTTAGAGTGACATTACATTTTCTAATCTAATAACTATAATTTATTTATCATTAGAATTTTAATAATCAACTTCCTTTTCTAAACAAATACCTGCAATTAGAAACCTGATGACATTTGAGGATATTTTGTTCTTTTGATGTAAAGAATGTTGGGTTATGATAGAAAAGATATAAGTGAATGACAACATACCCTAAGGTAGGGGTAGGGAGCTTAGAACAAGATGCCTCAGTTGAAGTCCTGGCTCACCACTCACTAGCTGTACATCTTTGACATGCAGAGATATTAAGTTTCTCATTCTCTAATTCATAAAATGGCTACAATTCTACTTTATTCAATGACTACTGTTACGTTTAGATGAGATAGTTTTTAAAATGCCTGATACAAAATAAATATCTAATTAAATGAGTGTCTTCTCCAAGCACTTTTCAATCCAATCTGTGATTTTCCATGGAGGATACTGACTTCCTCAGAGGGGAGAGGAGCTTGTTTAGTGCCATGTCACTAGGGATTGGCCAAATAAGCATTAGAAAACAGAGACCACAATCACTGTTTTAGGGCTCCAGGGTAACTTATTAAGCTGCATCTTTCAAATCATCCTTCAGGAGTGGTAAGCACTAAAGAGAAGGGACCACTTTTCAGGCAGAGAAGACACAAAGAATGGCAAGCCTGGTTCTGGCAGGAAAAGCTGATTGTCACATCTAAGGGGAAGTCTCTGCCCCTTTATGCTTTCTAACAAAGGGTGGAATATTGATAGGCAACTCAATAACAAGATTGATACTCTTTAAAAGTATCTTTTGTGATATACTTTAATTCTTTAGTTTGATTATGCACAATGGAACGCTAATCAGGTGGAAATCTTTTGTAATATCATAAATTGATCAGACTGACGATATGGACACAAAATTTTCTGAGTGGGAAAATACTGGAATGATCATTACAGGGTGAAATTGAGATACAACATAAGTAAACTGATTTCAGGGCTAAAAGTAAAGCACAGTTCTCACATTGCTAAATTTGGCGAGTCCCTGCCTAAATCGCCAATTTCCACAGGGCAACACCTAGATATAAATTAAAACATGGTAACACCCTAAAACAAACCTAAAGGGGCATTTCTTACCTATGGAATTATTGGCAAGGAAAAGTATTTTATTTTACATTTGTGCTCCTGAGTAGAAATCATTTTTTTGTAGTTCTACTCATATTTCTTCTGTTATCCTTCGACATGTTTGTTTTCCTTTTTCTATTTATTAAATTGTTAACTGTTATTGCAGAGTGTTTATAGCCTTTATATACATTTCCACAATCAGGATAGGTGTGAGGACCTTTAAAGTATGTAGTTCTTTTTGAACTTATTAATTGGAATATCTTTTAGGTCGGTGGGTCTTGATTTCTTTGGCAAAGAAATCTCAGCCAAATTTTCATAGACAATGGGTAACCTTTGAAATAATATTTATTCAAGGATTAGATGAAGAACATGGTAACAAGTTATTGCACTTGATATCCTACAATTTGTACAAATTTAATTCAGCCAAGCCTGTACACAGTAACATATTAGACTATATCATATTGCTCCTCTATTCCTACACCTTCCTGCAGAATGGAATAATACTGTCTTACACTGAGATTTACTTTAATACGATGCCATCAGTCTATGCAGACAAGTGCTACCAGGAACTGTTATATGGAACTCACCATGACCACTTCAAGGCTGTTGACAATATTGTTGAGAATGTGATTCATTATATCACACACTGTCTTTCCTGAGATCTCTCGAGAACATCCCACCTCTTCTGACCATCTCTTTCTGAACAATCCATTTGTTTTGATATCCTGAAGACTGTCAATGCCCAAATCTATCAAATTCCTTCAACATGGGCTGCTGAGAATCTAAAAAACAAGAGTAAGTGTATAAAACTTTTATTAAAGTGTATTTGTGTTTTGTCCCATTTCTGGATTGACTTGAAGTTTCTAGTCTTGTTATTTTTCTCCTTCCTCGCCTATTTCTAATTATGGTGCTTTGATGTATTTTAAATATTCTCATAAGCTATCTTAAATCCTTCTTAGAACAAAGTGAGTAATAAATAAATAAAACCATGAGCAATGTCACAACGCAGAATAAGATGGAAGGGTAAATGTTCATAATATAAAACGAGGCTTATTGAAACGGAGTCCATGTTAAATAAATTGGGCTCTTTACCTTCTTGTTGGCTTAGATGCCCCCCTTCTCTCTTCATTAGCTCAGAAAGACCCTTTCTTTACAGTTTTCTCTTGTAACTATTCAAGTGTCAATTAAATAGCAGATATTTTATCTGTCAATTTTGAATCAACATATTACTGAAAATTAAATGATCTTTCTAAAACATCATAAATTCATCTACTGAGAGATTCAGCACAATCTTGGATAACAATTGAAATACTAAGAATGTCACTATTTTTAATGTCTATATATTTTTGATTGGGCCATGATGATAAGAGATATAGAAAAAAATGGAGAATTTAAGTGGGTAAATGATTTTGCTATTCAGACTCTGTGTGTGTGTGTGTGTGTGTGTGTGTGTGTGTGTGTAGTACCAGCACGGGCTTCAATTGGGGTGCTTACAATAGCAAATTCGGAAGGAAGAAAACTAAGAATAGTACTGTAGAGGAGAAATAATTACAAGAAAAGAGATGAGTAAGAAATAATGGAACTTTCTCCTTTCCTTCCTTATTAATTATGGAAACAAATCGAGGAATTCTGAGTATAATTATTCTTTGAAATTTTACTTTATTTGCTCAATGTAGATAATGATGTTTCTCATAATTTCACTTTATTGTTTCAAAGACATTTCCTATGCCTTTTATATTTTAAAGCATTTTTTAGCAGTTATATTTTCTGGGTACACAGAATGTTGTTCATGCAGCTATTATAAAAATAAACTATTGCCATCTATTTATCTGTTTACATTTTGTCCTATCTATTAGGTTCTGAATGTCTAAGTTAAGACTTTTTCCTTATTCATAACTATCTAAACATAGTGTGTGGTTCAAGGTAAACCTCAGCAGAATACTATAAATAATTTACTCAAAATCGTCTTCCTTTTCAAAGATTATACTTGGGGGAAATACTCAGGCAATGAAACAACGAAGGAAGAAAAGTGTGCTAATGAGAGAACAGGGTGGGTTAAACCACACGGAGGCTGCATGGAAGAGATAGGGCTGGAATGAGAGAATATCGCGAGAGAGGAGAACAGGCTTTCCCAGCACCGGGAATAAATTGCGTTTCAATCCCCAGCTGTGCTCCCTTCGTGTGCCTGGCTTTGTGCAAACCGTCAGGAACACACGTGAATGAGACAGAGCCTACAGCTTCGTGGGGTAACAAAGAAGCAACTCTGCACTGAAAACCCAGTGGAATAAGAGCTCCTGTGGAGGAAGTAAGTGTCCCAGAGGATGTGGAAGGGTCTCAACCTGGAGGAAAGCACAGACTTCCTTGAGTAAATAACTGTTTAGTGGAGACCTGCAGATAAGAAAGTTAGCCGAATAAAGGTGGCAGATTGCATATGTTGGGGGTGAGGGCAGTGGTGGGTAAAAGGTGGTGTTCCAGACTGGAAAAAGAGAGCAAAAAGAAAGACTGGCAAAAGATGAGGCTGAAAATGTATGAATGAGCCAGAACATAAAGGATTTTATAAACTCTACAAAGTAGTTTATCCTAAGAGCAAATAGTGAACCATTGAAAGACTGTGAGCAAAAGAATAACCCAGTGAAAACAAACATAAAAGAAAATGATAACAGACATCGTCAAATACAGATGAATTTGGATAGATTAAATTATTTGGAATAGAGATTACATTATTTGGAGTTCTATGAAATTAGCAAGTGGAATTTAACTTTGGGAGATAAGTTAAACAAAGTTTCGATCTTTACCAAAAAACTCTAGAGAGATGTGACTTGCTTATTAGCCAAGCTAGGCCAGTGTGTGTTCCAGGAACAAATTATCGCCTCTCTCTGAGGCTCAAGTAAAGAGATTGATTAGAAACAAGATATTATCCAGAAAATGTGTACGACACAAGTGGCGATGGAAGAGACTGAAGCTGGGGCAGAGCGTAAGAGGAGAATGGCGCATATTCCTACCAGCGGAAAATCTCTTTAGCACTTCACTGAATTTGAGAAGTTTGCTAAATAAGCAGGGTTCTACCGCATCCCGACTTTATTTTTTTTTAAATAGCTCGATAGAGATACAGATTTCTGCCCCATGACTCAAATGCTCATGTTCTGAAATGACTACTGTCAAAACAGAGCGCTTCACAGAGACAGAGAGGCGAGGGCGGGACGAGCCACGCTCAGCAGCCTGGGCCTCTCCGGGCGGGGGCCGCGGGCCCGGCCAGCAGGCAGGCAGCCCTGGCACCGGCTGCCAGCTCCATGCCCGTGGGAAGCAGCATCCCAGGGAGGGCAGCCTGCAAGTGCACTGTTAGGAGAGGGGGCTCTAGCGCCTGGAGCAGAGATGTACTCTGGTAGATTGGACAGTTTATCCATCTGGGGTGGTTGTGACGTCTGAGTCAGAAGGATAAACTTCAAACAGGTTGAAATCAAGTTTCTATTAATTATCCCGGAAGAGGAGAAAGAAAATTAATGCACAGACATAAGCTAGTCTTTGAATAAAGGGGGATGTTTTATTATGATAGTTAAGGCTACAGTCCTTTTCAAAACAGGCAAAAGGACGAAGAAATATTTAAACAGATTAAAATGATAAACAGAGCAATGTGATCAGTAATTTAAATGTTATATATACTAAGAAGGAAGGTGGCAAGTGAATATATGTATAAGAAGACCCAGTATAAGAGCAGGAAAATGTCTAACCATAAGCATTGAGAAGACGTCCCTGGTTATGAGTATTTATATGTATTAACATCTAGAAAATGCAGTTGTTTCGCAATGTTTCTAAAAAGAAATACATGCTCCCTGTAATTAAACAAACTTTTGTTTTGTTTTGTTTTTGTTTTTTTGTTGGTATGTGCCCCTAGCAGAAACCAAACCCGGGACTCTCTGGTCCACAGGCCAACGCTCCAACTGCTGAGCCAAACCGGCCAGGGCTAACATTCTTAATTTCTATGTGTTTATATACCTAAAAAGAAAACTAAGACTTAGAAAGTCATCATAGTATATTCATTGCAGCATTGTTCGAAACATGGAAAAGCTGAGATGCATAATAACTGGGAATGAATAAATGCAACATAACATACCCACATGATAGAATACCTGGGCAGCAGTTAAATCAAATAGATCTACGCCAATCACCAAATAGCAACATGCACAAGAGATATCAACAGAGGTGAAGAGCCTTCATTTTACTCAAGCAGCTCTCAGTATGGGAGATAGAAAATGAAGTGTATGGCTATGATACAGTGTGACATTGGTCACAGAAGTATGCCAGGGACATGCTGTGGTAGCACAGTGAGGGAAAGCTACAATAAAGATATTATAAAGATACAGAAAGTGAGTTGATTCCTGAAAGGTGAATATGGGTGTATTGACAACCTCTTGTATAGCACTTCTAAATGCCCCCAGCTCTACCTGGTATTCCAGCCTCTGCTGGGTGACCAGCCTGGCACAGGTGGAATCAGATAGCATCTTGCCTATGCTATGGCATTTTTATTCCTGTTTCTCATTTATCAGCCACCCCAGCACCCTCTGTGACATGTTCAGGTGTTATGTTGGTGCAAATCTGCATGGCACTCAAACACATGAGCAATCCAGCTGGGCAGTGAGTAACCCCATGGGGCCATACCTGACCAATGGAGGCTGAGAGGCAATGGATAAATACTTCTTTCCATCCACTGGGTAGGCAAGTATGAAAACAGACACAGATGAGTGAGGGGCAAAAGTACACTCAAAGACCTGCAGATAATTCACATTTCTTTCGCCTAGAGTATGAGTGGCAGTGTGATGAAAGCCTTGTTCAGGCATCAGGTTATGAAGGACCTCGTGTAAAATACAATGAAACTAGGAGCCTCTTGGGTCAGCATGCGATTACCACTGAGTAGTTTAAATCTGTGTGACAGTATGACATGTTTTTAAATTTCCTTTTAATTTTTATACTTATGGGGAGGTGAATTTAAAGGTGACAAACCAAAGATGGGACATGAGTTAGATTCAAGAATTCATGCAGAAAAATAATTATTAAAACTTTTGAAAACACTCAAGTCTAAAGATAAATTGTTGGATATGAAAAATTTTTGAAGGACACATTTGACAGTATTTGGTGCACATGACATGAAGGAAAAGGGAAGAATCTATATTATCATTCCTGTTGTTGCGATAAATTCACCCAGTGACAGTGAGCTTTGCAGGTGCTAAAAAAGACTTGAAGTGATCAGACACAGATAACGTGGGGTTGGACTGCAGGGGAGGTCTTCTTCGGAAACAGGTGTGTGAATGCTGCAGCACTTCACTATCAATGTGCAGTCTGAGTGGACGGAATTGCCTCCCGGAAAGAGTACGTGGGAAAAGATGAGGAGCTGGACGTGGGGGAAATGATAAGGATTTCCCACGAGGCAAGTAGGTGGAGGAAAAATCTATGGATAAATCTCAAAATGCACTGTCAGAAGGTAAGAAGAGAACCACAAAAGAATAGAAGGCTGTGTTCAAGAAGCATAAATCAAGAAGTTTTAAACAACTGAAGGAAATCAAAGTTAAAGACCACAGTGAGATCAGCTAAGAGGAAGGCTGAAAATCATTTACTGCAACTGCCACGCACTGGTGTTCCACAGTAGGCTGAAGACGTGCAATACCTGACTATTTAGTCAGGGGCACTGACCTCTTTTCCCTTAGGTTGTCAAAAAATAAATAAATAACAGCCAACATAACAATAGCTGTCTGGTGTGAATGAATTCAAATTATACCTCTTTTTTTTTTGTCAGATCAGCAAAATATACATTTTTCTGGTGTGCCACAGAATTTTAATTAGCTTATGCATACCACAAGATCAAAAGGGTTGTAAATCACTGCACTGAACTATACCAGGAAGAGACATTCAGTGCCATTAGTGAGGGCAGTTCAGGGCAAGAATGAATCGTAGGAAGCCAGACTATAGGAAGTTGAGGCTCACTGGGTAAGGAGGAGGAGACAGCGAGTGTGGAGGCTCCTGTTAAGTAGATTGCACGGAAAGTAGAGAGAGGCTAGGCTCCATTACACTTAAACTGAAAATTCTGATAGAGTTGACGCTAAATTTGTATAATACTTGTTGTAAACATAAGAAAACGTTTAGCGATTGAATTGGAAATGGGAATGCCTTTCTTACTGTTTGAAGCTGCTAGTGAAAAGTCTAATTGAAAGTCTCAGATATAGTAAATGTTTTCTTCTAAATTAATGTGTAAAGCTTTTGCACTTCAATTTAAACTTCCTACCTAATTTCACCTAAAAGCAGAGAAGAGGCTCAACCTAAAGGCTACATTTATTTTTATCAGTCATAATCTGTAATTACTATACACAAGTAATATTTTTTGTTTGCTTGCTTGCTTCAGGAAACACATAGAAATGCAGAGATGAAAAAAGGTGATAACTGTTGAAGAAACAGGAGGTAAATCACTTTTTTTTTTTCACCCTGAAGCCTAAGAGTCAATATATTCAGAATGTACCTTGGAGGGCAGAGAACTGTTCTCAGGCATCAGATAATCTGAGATTTATTTGAATAACTTAACTGCCTAGAACAAAATTATTGATTTCCAAAAGAAAATCAAGGAACAAGTCTATCTGTATTTATGTATTTTTTTAACTGAACAAACTGCAGCCCAATGGATTTAATCAATTCAGACCATAGTTTTAAACATTCTTATGGGTTTCCTACCAGCTAACTGGCTCCAGGATTCATCCGTGTTAAAAAATTCAAAAAGTATGAAAGTGAGATGATACTTCAGGGGAAACATGAAATTATGTGCTCAAGCAATGGCACAGGACAATTACATTGTACTGTCTGCCAGAGAGAGTGTGTGTCTACACAATTAAGGGCTCAAGACCTGGCAGCCTTAGAGTGAGATCCTACCTCTGACAGTTACTGTCTGTGAGATGATGGGCACACACTTGACGTCATCACTCTGTGAAAGATATTGTTAATATCATTATACATATGAGGATACATCTACAAAACACAGGGTGGTAAAATTAATATTGGTACTATTTATCATTATCGTGGTGGTGCTGGTGCTGGTGATTCAGACACCAGCTTTTAATAGGCATCTAGCACGCATGACCACATGATAGCAGAAATGAATTAGAACTAGCTTTTCAGCATTGTACATATTATTTTGTAAGTATTTTAAAGGCAGGTATCTGCAATGGTTTCACAATTACTACAAGAAGAAGTTATACTGGTATATAAACCCCTTTGGGCCCTACGCTGACTACTCTCCTATCATCTCTAATAGCATATTTTGTATAGTAGACCTTTGTAGAACTACAGGAACAGTGAAGATGGAATTTAACGTCCCTGGCCCCTGGGTTGGATTTTCTGCACTGGAATTATTGTGTCTCCTTCCTAAGGACCATTCAGCCCTGCCTGCCAGCTGGCTTTGGCCAACTGAGCTACTTTTGTGCCAGAGATGCTCAGCAATATTTCAGAGCCTTCCAATGGTCTCACGGTCAAAAGAGTTGGCTGCCATCGCTGTTGCCTTGTTTTTTGACACTTGCACTTTCCTCAGCCTTCTCTGAAGGAGGAATGAGGATGGATTTGGTAAGGCTCTCGATGCCCAGCTCTGCTCAGTCCAGTCCCCAGGCCAATCACAACCAGACCCATGGAGACTTTGATTTTTCCCATGGCTGTCCATGGGGGGCATGTAAGATAACCCTTTAGTGTGTTAGAGTTAAGGACTCATGCAACTAAGTTTGATAATGAAGAGATCAAATATGGGAAGGAGAGACATAGAAGTTCCATGTGGCTTCCACCCACGTCCAGCCAGATTAAGAAAACTACTGGGCTTTCTTGTGAAATGATGCACTTTTTGCATTTTTCTACCCAACTTTTTCTCTCATTTATGTTTCCTTGGGGTCAAGTTTTAGGTTTTCCTCAAGCTCTTTTTTTTTTTTTTTTTCCCCAGAGAATGTGGACTAAGACACCAACACATTTCCCACATCTTAGCTTTGATGTTGCCTTCAAAAAGAAATCAGGCTGGATTGTGGAATGTGAGTTAGAAACTGTGGCTCCTGACTGCCTCCATGTGGGCCTCTCCTTCCTACGTGGGTGTTTATGCATCCCTCCAATCCTTCTATGAGCCCTTGACACTTATAATATGAATCATGCTGTATTACGATTGCCTGCTTATCTGATGCTCTCTTCTAATACAGTTTGAGTTCCTTGTAGACTTAGAAAATGACTTCTCAATTATTATATTCCTAGGATAAAGTACCTGCTTAATGAGAGTTCATGAATTAAATAAGTATTTTAAATAAATGCATACTCATATTTTTATTATCATTAATATTTGGATGGATACTGGGTTAAATGAATAAATATATGAGAAATGACTATATCATTCAATACAGCAGGACATATAAACCATCCCTGAAACACAATAGCTTACAGTGAGATCTGAAAAGAACAACAGACTCTCATCGACATGCAAACAAACTCAGACATAAACATGCAGTTGGGTATATGACAGACTGGAGGGTCACAAAATAAATGAAAATAAGTTTTCAAAAGGAGGAAAGAGAAAATAGTTCATGGAGAAAGAAAGAAGAAAGTAAAAGAGGAGGGAATAAGGAAGGGATGGTTAAAGGAAGGAAGGATAAAGAAATGAAGGGAGGGAGGAAGGAAAAAGAGAGGGGAAGAGGAAAGAGAGAGAAGGAAGGGGGAAAGAGGACGCGAACCAACTCACTCAGGTAGGTGGCACTGGTATAGCCTACAGGTGAGGGATGATTCTGCTTGGATCTAAACAAAGTCCTTTTCACTTTTCTAAATGCCTCCCATTATCCATCTAAAGGACCTCCTTTTCTGAATTACTCAGAGCTAAATAAGGATGTGTTTCCAAATGTACCAGCTATAGAAAATAACTAGTAAATAATTAAATAGTCTCAATGAGAGAAAATTTGGAAGAGGGCAGTGTAGCAGCAAAGTAAATGCCACCGCTGTGAGCATGAGATTTTATCAGAGCAATTATTTTGAGATCTATCTCCATTGCCAAGCCTCCATCAACTAAAAATTATGCATACATCAATTTTCAAGCAAAGAAGATGAATGATAATGTCACGATGACACCATACCCTACTCTCACCATGAACACTACCCTTAACCCACAGTTAAGAGCGGGATTGAGACACAAGACATCCCCTCTAGGTCAGGACACAGGAAAGAGATTTGGGTAGTGTTGAGGGATGCTAATGCCAAGTCTTCTTGTTTACCAAGAAAAAATATCCATGAAATTTTTGAAGAGCATTTATACCAGGAGACCAGGGCACTAGCCTCTATTCTGCCATTTATTTCATTTCTATTGTTATTGTTCTGAGATTTGCATGAATATGTTACTTTAAAAATAAATCACTCAATATTTTAAATCTGTTTTCAGCTCAGTTCGTTTCATCAAATCTCTGTGGACATTTAAGTAGTTTAACTTCATTCAAATTAGTGCCTTCCTAATAGAAGAGACAGCTTCAGAGTACATGCTGCATTGTCATCTCAGGGGAAGGAAAAGGAAATTTTATAAAATTTATCTCATTCTCATTAATAGTCGAGCTGAGATATGAGATCCATGTGAATTTTTTAAAGCAGCAAGTTTTCAGTTTACAAGAAGTAACCACTTAACCAGAGAACAGATATGCAAAACCCATGGACACAGACATTAGCGTGGGGAAGACCTGGGGTAGGGTGTGGCCTGGGGTAGGGTGGGGCCTGGGGTAGGGTGGGGCTGGGTGGAGGAATGGGGGACATCTGTAATTGTCAACAATAAATAAAAATACAATAAAAGAAGTAATCACTTTTCAGAAAATCCCTTCTCTTCTGTGGTTCAGGGGACATCTTAGCAAGTAGGTTATTGTTGTTGCTGTTTATTTGTTTGTCTTTCCACATCCCTGACTAATTGTAACAATCATCTCCATAGATAACTTGACACAGAAAATCTGGAGCAGAGAATAATTTCTTTAAAAGATAATCTCACTCTAGTATAATAAAGTAGTTGGATAACATTAAGATATGGTCTTATCTTGAGGTTTACTTTCTGGAAATGACAATGCTAAGCCATAGAAGAAGTGAGAGGGGAAAATCATTACCAGAACTCTTCCCCCTCCTCCTTTCAAAACAGGGAGCTTTCTAAGGGGTCTGGGAAGGACACGAGGCAAAGGAGTTTGCATTCTACTCCAGGTTCTTGGAATTGCCACAGACTGGAATGTCTATTCATTCTTCAAGACTACACTTGGATGATAAATCCTTTGTGAAATCTTCTTGCATCTCCCTTCCCATTTAAAATTAATCATGCTCCATATCCTTGATTTGTTACTTATTTGACCATTCGAGGAACAAGTAGATCAAACAAACAGCAGACTGATACTAGTGCCAGATGTTTGCATTAGGACGCTCCATGCAGAAAGGACTGACATTTATTCAGACTTTTAGTTCTCATTCAATCTGAAGTCATTGGGAAGATTGACCTCTCCCTTTATTTTTCCTCTAATCATATATGGGGGAAATGGTAACTTCAGCAGTATTATTTACTTTCAGACTGTGCTAGAGATATTTGGGTAAAAAAAATTTTTTTGAAAAAAACATAAATTCAGATATCTACAACTCTGAAAATATATTTAAAAATTGTTCCACCATTATGATAGTAACATATGCAGACACCTAAATATACACTTACATGTGAATACAGCATCAATATCTTAACGTGATCATCAAACCAAGGGGAGATCTTAGCTTACCAGATACATAATTGTTAAACCAGCTCAATTTCGTCATTTTATCACTATGGAAACAGAGACACAGGAGAAATTACTTACTCAGGGTGTCTCAGTTCATTGTCAGAGGTAATAAAATAATCAAAATATTGCCACAAAGCAGGTTAGCAAGTTGCAAGTATCTACAAGTATTTTGTCACAATTATTTCATTTGATCTCAACCCCAGTCACACTCTTGTGCAAACTGTAACAGGAAAAAGATAGCTAAGGAAAAGATTAGAATAACAGTTTTCTAGAGTTTTAGAATACACCAAACCATTGGTAGATCCTGGTTAAATTACTAAACTTGGTAATTAAATTAAAAGTTATTTCTTATGCTGATTAAAACTGCAGAACTTTTCTAAGATCTACATTCTGCTAAGAAGTTTCCTAGCATTAGCTCCATAGATTGTGCAGCAGTTAATATTTTTTAAATTTTATCTCTGCCTTTTACTGTTTAGACAATTTGCCCCTTTTTAATGTAAAGCATTTTGTGAATATAATAATTAAATTAAAATATAGCCCTGGCCAGTTTGACTCAGCGGTTAGAGCGTCAGCCTGCGGTCCGGAGAGACCCGGGTTCGGTTCCCACTAAGGGCACGCACCTCGGTTGCAGTTTGTCCCCGGCCCTGGTTGGGTCATGTGGGTGGCAACCACTCACAATGTGTCCCTTTCACATCGATGTTTCTCTCTCTCTCTCTCTCACCCTCCCACTCTATCTGAACAAAATATCAAAAAATATCCTTGGGTGAGGATAAAAAAATATATAATAAACATAAGTAACAGATATATAATGTAAGTATATAAGACTAGATAAATAAAGAGAATACCTTTACAAATACCTATCTGAGAGATTTGAGATATGATTTTCCTAAAATAAATATAATTTTATTTGCAAAGAAGCTTAATTTAGATCTTATCAAAAAGATACAATTTTTATTTATTTATTTATTTATCTATGTTACAAAAAGATACAATTTTTAAAAGATAAAAAGAAAGACTAAAGAACTTGGCTATGCTGGGTACAGTTCTTCTGTTGCTGTTGTTTGATTTCTAGTTTGGAATGTCACCCTTTCTCACTGGTGAGACATTCCCCCAGTATGTCTCTGGCAATGAAACAAGCAACACTGCCTACTTCCAATCAAACAGGAAAAACTGCAAAAACGAAACGAACACTTCAAACAGAAGAAAGGGAAAGTGCTGACTAAGACATGTTTCTTCGATTTCCTATTTTCCATGGTCGGTGCATTAGAGGCCGGGGATTGGCAGGGCGGCTGCAGAGTAGGGAGCACTGTCCCAGGAGCGGTGGGCAGTGACTCAGTCATTCGCAGCAATGGAATGTTCCGTAACGCAGAAGCAAATGACACCTTTCCTGTAATTTCTGGTTTACAGTTTTGCTTTGGCAATATAGGTGTTAGCCTTCAGTCAAGGGGAGGCTTAGGAAAAGCAAACTTCCTTTCGTAAAGGAAAACGTACCCTCTAAAACTGCTGCTCAGTGCATCATCAACCTAAACATTTGTATGCAACCCTCAAGGCTGGGATTCTTCTTGGTAACTGAGAAGGAGAGTCCATAAATAAATATTTATGTGTAAACCCGTTTATTATATGTCTGGTATTTTTTATTTGGATACTCGTTTATTATAGGTCTCCACTGGAATTTATATATGCTCCCTCAAGTTTGGAAGCCTGTCTTATTTATCTTGGTAATGTCAGAAACTAGAAAAGTATGTGTTCAAAAGTATGTGTGGAATGAATGAGCAAACGCCATGGTCGCCTGCGTGAGCCATCAATCCAAGCATCGCCAGTGACGCGCCGCATGCGCGAGGCCAACCCTGCGGTCCCAGCGTGCGCAGGACTGAGGGAGGGGCGAACACAAAATTAAAATTAGGATTTATGAGGTGTGGGTTGTTCCGCATCATGTTTCAGAACTCAGTCTGTGAAAGTGGGACGGTCGTGTCCCTTCCAGGGGACGTTTGCATACCTTGGGCTGAAAAATATGGAAGCACGAATTCACCGCACAAACCATGATTTCCAACCCGTAGAACAGTTGTTTTCACAAACCAGGAGGGAATATATTTTGGTCAGCCCGGGGGAACACTAACCATACCATATTGTAAATATAAAAGTCCCAACAGCTTTAAAAAGAAACAAAAGCAACCTTATTATTCCCTTTCCTATAATTCTGGAAACAAATGTTTCCATTAGGAAATATGTGCTAGTGAAGCACATCCTTCCCCTGCAAATTCCAGTAGACAGTCAAAATCAATATTGAATTGTTTGCCCAAATATTTCATATTGAAAACACCAACATTTTTGTTTGGGATGTTACAATTTAATATCAAATAACTTCTCCTGATGGGAAAATATAACTGTTGCTTAGTGATGTTTTAATATAACTTTATATTCTAGTGAAGATTACACTCTCATC